GCCCAAGCTTGGAATAGCAGTAAGAGTGCATGCCCGTGCGTGCCCGTGCGCGCCCAAGCTTAGCATTGCAGTTAGAGTGCGCCCCCGTGCGCGCCCAAGCTTGGAATAACAGTAAGAGTGAGCGCCCGTGCGTGCCCAGGCTTGGGATAGCAATTAGAGTGCGCGCCTATGCGCGCCCATGCTCACCCAAGCCCTGTATTGCTGTTACAGTGCGCGCCCGTGTGCGCCCAGGCAGGATATTGCTATTAGAGTGGGCGCCCGTGTGCGCCCAGGCTGGATATCGTTATTTGAGTGCGCGCCCATGTGCACTTGCGCTGGATATGTGTGCGCCCAGGCTAGATGTTGTCGTTTGAGTGCGAGCCCTTGTGCGCCCGAGCAAAGGATTGATAGCTGAGATGATTTGCCATCACGCTCCCGTTGATTTATTTCTTTGCTGATCAGCAACATCTCATGCACATGATATCTTCCCTCGCACGGGGAGCATTGGCAGTTAAGTCCCTGCATAGATCGTCGGCTCAGTCTAGCCCCAGTACATTCAGCATTTGTGACTGGTCCCTATGCATTAGATGTTCTACTGATCTGTTGCTGTTCAGCCGAGCCCTTCAGGCGGGCCTATTTGAGATTGTTGTTGTTCAGCCGGGCCCTTCAGGCGGGCCTACTTGAGATTTTTGTTGTTCAGCCGAGCCCCTTCAGGCGGGCTCACCTCTCGAGATTGTTGCAGTTTGCGGTCGGTCCCTTTCTTCTGAGATAGTTGCTGTTCAGTCGGGCCCATTCAGGCGGGTTTTATATTGAGTCGCTATTCAGCCGGGCCCATTCAGGCGGGCCCTATATCGAGTTGCAGTTCAGTCAGCCCATTTAGACATGCCTCCACATTGAGTTGCTGATTGTTATCTGGCCAGGTCTTGGAAGGAGTATTTGCATTAGTGAGAGTGCACCTTCTGTCCAAGCTGGCCCGTCACCGTGAGACTGCCCCTAAGTGGGGTAGATTGATTGAGAGGTTCTGCTACAGACATGTGTGACATCGGAGTTTTACTATCAGGGCTAATGAGTCCTCGACCTCGAGACACACGCTCGTGATCACCTACTCGGTGAAGGGGGCGGAGACGGGAGTGAAGGGCACCACATACGACATGATTTTTGATTACATATTTCGCAGGGAGAACTATTGGAGGGACAACTGGCTACATGTGGTGTTCCCTCGCGTACCTTCAGCACCTGGGGGCGTGCTCTTCGATTTTGATGGGTGCAACCCCATGCCCCTTAGTCAGTCTCGCAGCAAGGACAAAAGGAGGAAGGACGACCGGATTAGGAGAGAGATAGCCAGATCCGGGGTCCCAATCACTACATGCGTCCAGAGATCAGAGACAGATGAGTCGGACTTGGAGCCCTGCTCCGTGAGTGACATTGATCTGGGCGACTATTTCGACTGGGACACTCACAGGGGTTGAGTTTCTGGACAGCGACAGGAGCATTGGAGACCAATGAGCGAAAACGTCGGAGGGCGATATTGAGGAGGATCACACATCTTCTTGCACGGTATGTTATTGAGGGTGATTGACTCCTACATGTCAGACGACCCCAGGTCTGAGACAGTTATTGGTTCCTCAAGAGGGGAGGGTCCGGTCCCATACCTCGGAGATGGCTATGGTCATTTGGTTGGGGAGGGCGGATTGAGATATTGATTGGAGCTACAGGCGATATCATTCTTGCGGAGGAGCTTTATCTCCGGAGCATCGCAGACGAGGAGATGGTTAGATGCATGGCCTCTATCTGCAAGATTGATCCAGCAACACCTCTCGACATCAGCTACGTGGTTCCTGAGTCGATAGCCACGCGAGTTCTCAATGGCGAGGTGCCAGACAGGGAGTCCCAGACGGCAGCACTCACTCACGAGGGGGTAGCGCTTATTATCATTGATTGGGGTTCTCTCTTTTCAGTCACTATTGATGTATTACAACATTATGATTTATTAGTGACTGCAACCCTCGAATAGTTGCTCCCTGCATACTCTGTGTACTACTCTTCACTCTCGTTTCTCTGGTCATGCTCTTGCAGAGTCTGGTTTCTGGTCTTCTCACATTGTCAGTGTCAAGTGCTCTATGATGTATAATGCATGTTTGTTATTTTCCTCCTTATTTTATACAGGTTACACTCAAGGCAGCTTGAAGGACTCCTGAATGATAGGACTCCGGTGACCTTGGGCCTATCCTTTATACGGGGTCAGGTGCAGGCGATAAACCCGAACGCCTCACTCTAAGCCATGTCGCCGCTGGCAGGAGGGATAACCCTGACTACTCGGCTGTATGACTAAGTGTGGCTGCCTCTTATTACACCCCTAATTTTCTACCTATCAAAAATCCTGCGTGACAGCCTGCCAGTCCTCCAACCCACTGAGCTCGGTCCGGGGAAGGACATCTCACCGGACCCTTGAAGCAGTGGGGGCGCGACAAAAATGGCGCGTTGCCGGGGAACCAAAAATTTTGAGTTCCTGGGAGCGGACCTTGGTCAAAATATTCAGTGACTAGGCAGCAGTCTAGCATATTTCGTACAAAGTCTGACTCAGGTCAGAAAGACTTTCGGCTGGAGGAACCCTGAGAGGAGGGGCCTCTTGCAGAAGTCTATCTGAAGTGATTCAGACCTGCAAGCAAGGGTTTGGAATTTGTTTTTCTGGACCCTTCGCTTGAGAAGTCCTTAAGTCAGAAACCAGATGATGACTGAAGAGTATAATGTCCTAGAAGCCCTAACTCGTGTCACCTGCAGTGGTGCCTTCCCTTATATGTTTGTCAAATGCATTACTTTTGCAAAAGGTACGACGACTGTGCATGTGCTTGTCTCTAGATTCCTTGACACTGATGATTATGATATTCGACCCTACATCCTAGAAGGGGCTGATCAGGACCCTAGTTTCTTTACCAACTGGGATGTCATAGTAGAGTGTGTCAAAGTCGAGAGGGATCAATTGAGACAACAAGGGATAAAAGCGAGTTAAAGCTTACAGCCTAGGATTTATGAGAGGATTCCTACCCCACCAGTACGTAAAGGATTATGTGATGGTAGGAACTGGCAACCAATCATCAATGCAGCACTAAGGAGACAAACCTGGTAGGTAGTCAATGTCACTAATAACGAAAGCGATAGAGGCGCTGACAAGGATCACGGCTGGGGGTGCCTTCCCGTACGTCATTGAGAGGTGTGTGACTTGTGAGCACGACTCAATGATCTTGTACGTCCTTGTCGCTCGATTTCATGATACGGATGACTATAATGTGAGGTCATATGTATCTGCTGAGACAAGGAGAGAGATCGATTATGAGGCGTGTTGGATAGCAACTGCTGAATATGTTCTGGATGAAAGGCTGTTGATGAGACAACGAGGGAAGAAGGTGACTTGGAGTATCCTGCCTAGAGAGTTTAAGAGATTCCCAAGTCCGCCTGTGCCCGCTAGCTTCTGCGACGGGAAGGACTGGGGACCAATCCTCAACGCAGTACTTAGGGACCGAATGTGGTGAGTCATACCAAGAGATGTCTACATTCCTGATGACGGAGAGAGCTTCTGCTTCGAGATCTATCTAGATGAGCAACGAGCGACTATCAACGGGGTCGTGAGAGGATGCGACACTAGGCTAGGTAGGCGCGATGAGATTGGCATGGTCGAGCACTACCTCGAGCTTATGTGAGCGGCTGCTTTTAGAGCAATTACGGATCAGACTAAGATTAGGCATTTGCTGGATTGCAAGAGTTTGGATGGCAGGAGAGTGATGCTACATGCGAGAGAAGAGACCATCCTATCTAGACAGCGTCCTGCGGACAGCCTGGCTAGAGGCGCTAGAAGCAGTCAAAGGCAATGATATTGGAATGTGAAAACTCTAAGTCAGTTGCGACTTTGACCATTGGTAGAGGATGGTTAGATAAAGTAACTGAGACTGATAGCCCGTTCGAGATATTGAGACACGACGTTTGTAAGAAAGGGCGTTTAGTATTCTATGTTCCAGTGGTCAGATTTCTCAGGATCGATGAGCTTGACGTGAGGGTTTATGCTCAAGAAGGAATAAAAGAGGAAGAAGGCTATTTAGAGTGTCTGAGGAAAGTGTACATTCACCTCTCGAGGACAAGGGAACTACTTCGAAGCTTGCATGAGAAAGTGACTTGGGGGAAACAAGTCAGGCAATTTGAGAGACTCCCTAGTTTTCTGACTACGGATAGCTTCGCTGACAGGAGAGACTGGGCGCCTCTTCTATAAGTTATTGTCGTGGTTGGCAAGACAAGAGAAAATGACCTAGTCATGCGACCAAAGACGCTGTTTTCCGATACTTTTGTACGTCGGTTCGAAGTTCAAGACGAAGCTTCTCCTGAATTTTCCCTCACCTGACAATGGAAAGGAGCCTGTTATGGCTGAGGAGAATGATGGTTTCCTAGGAAGCAGGCATATTTGGGAGAAGGCTGAAGGAACGGTATTACCCGATATTAATTCTTCGGTCATCTCGCGCCTACTCCGGGATTTGAAACCCTTCACGGTAGGAGCGACGTTTCCTTATAAGATTGAGAGATACACTGTCTTAGCCATACCTGAGGCAGAAAAAAAAGTGTATGTGTTAGTAACTCGCTTCCTAGAGACCAATGAATATGACGTGCGTATATACACTCCAGTAACTAGGAAGATTTGGCGGCGGTATACTGGGTGTCACGAGTGGGCACTCAGTCACGTTTGTAAATACAGAGACGAATTCAAGAAGGAAGGTAACAAGGTTACCGGGAGTGTGGAGCCTACTAAGTACGAGGGTTTTCTGAGTCCTCCTATTCCAGATAGCTTCGTCAATGGTGAGGACTGGGAGTCTATCCTTAATGTCGTTTTGAGAGATAGGAAGTGGAGTAGTGTCAATATTGACGATTCAGGCACTGGATAGGATAAGACGGATCATGGGGGTCGCTAGGGACTAGGCAATGTCTGGTTACTGTCCGGCAGTCACGGCAACACTAGACGCCTTGGTTCCATTTACCAGTGGAGGAGCCTTTCCCTACAGGATAGAGCGCTGCATATCCCTGGAGGAGAAGCATGCCCCCGGAAGGCGTATGTCCTTGTAGTGAAGTTCATCGACCCTGGTGAGTATGATATCCGACCCTATGTCCCTTCACTAAGGGAGAAGGGGACAAATCGTGAATCTCTTCGTAATTGGATCAGTAGTGTAATTGGTCAAGAAAGAAGAGAGTTAAAAAGAAAAGGAGCAAGAGTAGTTAGTAACATAGCACCGATTGTGTTTGACAGGATTCCCGAACCGATTTTGCTGGGAAGTTTTACCGACGGCAGAAACTGGGAACCAATTCTAAATGCAATCATAAGAGAGAAAAAGTTCAGGAAGAAATAAGAGTTTAACCAGTAAATCAGACAAGATGGTCAGGGGACCGGACGCAAGGCAGAACCTTGTTAGTTCCTCCGCAGGTGACGGAGAAGTGACCACTACCACTGTTTTACAAAAAATGTTGAAAATGATGGAGGCCATGAAGACCGGGATGGACACTATGAATGTTCGTCTAGACCTTCCAAGAGCTAAGGTACCTCCAGATAACATACCCTGCTTTGATGGAACCAAGGTTAGGGAGTTTCTGGAAGACTATGATGTCTTCGGTATGAGCTACGGTTGGTCGGACAAACAGAAGTTAAAAACTCTGCTAGCCTATGTTGAGCCTAAGATGAGGGTGTCGGTGACAAAAACGATACAAAGACTAACAACATGGGTTAATGTTAGACAATAGATGCTGGAAGAATATGCAAAGTATGACGTTCCAACAACTATGCAAAATTTGCTGGAAGTGCGACGCTCTAAATATGCAACCCTTAATCAATTGCTAGAGGATTTTGAGCGGGTTGCGCGGAGAGTACCCTTCCTAGATGAGGCCCAGAAGTGTCATGTCCTGCTAACTAATTTTGCAGAGGATGAAAGAAAGAGGAAATTTGAAGGCCGAAGAGATCCTTGGTCTTCTCGTTAAGCTTGGTAGCTTCGAAAAGTTAACCCTTCCTGCCCCAGCAACTCAAGCACTTGTTGGAGATGAAGAAGGTAAGGTAGAAAGAAAGAAGGAGAAGCAAAAAGAGGAGAGTGAAAGTGAGAGCGAGAGTAGTGATGATGATGACGCTAGGCGAAGGAGAAAAAAGAGACAAAAGAAGAAGCGCGACCGGGATTGGAAGAAAGATAATGAGAGCCGAGATTGACAAAGGAGAGATGGCCCCTTCCGATGTTATTATTGTGACGAGGAAGGTCATACTATAACTCGGTGCCCTTTACTAGAGAAAGAATTCGAAGAAGGGATTGTCAAGCAGAATGTCAATGGGCACGTATGTGATGCTAACTGGAACAAGATAGATTTCCAAGTCAAAGGAGGGATGCGAGCAGTTGTCCTAGAACAGGCTAGGGCCAATAAGGATAARAAGAAGAAGGCTAGAGTTAATGTTATCACCTTTGATGGTATGCTACCTCCGGAGATAGTGGCTCGAGACGACAATCCTGGAAGTCAAAACCTGAATGTATCCCATATCAGCCAAAAAAGAGGTCGAAGAGAAAAAACGAGAGAAGACTCAAAGAGAGCTAGACCAGCTGATAGATGGGCCCAAGGACCTAGTGAAGGAAGGGAAAGGAAAGGAAGTTGTTGGGAAGAAGAGAAGGGTGGTCCTGAGATCCGAGGCCGAGGAAGGGATCTCGATAGATGAAGTATTAAAGAAATTGCTCGAGGAGACCGAGATCACCCTATCATGGAAAGAAGCAGTCGCTTTGGTACCTAAGTTTAGGGAAGAACTTAAGAAGATGGTTGAAAGGCGGAAGGTAGAAATCAATAGCCTAAGACTCTTTCCTCAGCATGTGGAAAGAGCCCCGCCTGGTACCAAGATGAGGTTTGGTAACATGTCGTGTGGATACTTGAATATCTTTGTGAATGACGTGAAGGTTAGAGCCCTAGTGGACTCAAGGGTCGAGATGGTGCTTATGTCCTCGGCCACGATGAGATCATGTGGGCTTGGAATAGATAGGAAGGTCAATCATCAGCTTTCCAATATAGCCGGGTTTCTGCCTTTAAAAGGTTTTATTGATGATTTGCCTATTCGAATTGGGACTTTACGGGACGAGATCCTCTGTTTTGTGGTCCCCAACTTGGATCATGATTGCATTCTCGGAGCCTCTTTCCTACATAGAATGGAGGCTTGTGCGTTCTTTGGCCATGATGGGGCAACCTGGCTTTCTCTCCAGGATCCTAACAATGGTCAAGAACAGGCTTTTGTGATAAGTGATAGGCATCATCCTCGTCATCAGCGACATGTTAACTCTCTTAAGCATGAAGAATCTGACAAGCTGGTTGAGGAAGTACGGACGAAACTGAAAGAGAGTGGAATAATAGACGAGAAGACAACGATTAGAGTAAATGATATCAGAAAGATGCTCAAGCTCCTGGATAAAGAGAAAGAGTTGGGCGATAAGAGAGAGATGGAAGGATTCAAGGATGCAGTGAGGGCAGCCAAAGCAGGCACGATGCAGCTTACCTTCTCTGCGACTGGTCCGTTTTTAGGAAAATAACCACCGAATCTAAGAGGAAGTATAAGCGCAAAGGCGTTAAGAAGAATCCGGTGGCAGTTTTGATAGAAAAAGATTACAATGAGGCATTCGAGAAGGAGAGAAAGATAATTAAAAGATGAAGAGAGGTTGCATTAAAAGGAGAGAGAATTATCCCAGAGAGGTTCAAGATAATGAAGGTAGGAGTTGATGACTTCCTTCTGCCGGCTGAGAGGGATTTCATATATGAATTATGTCAGAAGTACAGTGATGCCTTTTCCTTTAACGATGAGGAAAGGGGACGACTGGACGTTTACACGATCAAGATGGCAAGATCTGGACCGTTCCTTACAGACCTTGGAATGATAGACCCACAAAGTACGCTCAAAAGGAAGAAAAAGAGGTAATGGAGTACATAAACCAGAAGATCGCCTCCAATGTTGCGGAACCAGCTGATGGAGCTTACGCCAATCATTGGTTTTGCTTTTGGAAGCCAGGTGGTGGCCTACGCTGGATACAAAACTTGCAAAAGTTGAATTCGGTAACGGTTCACGATGCGGGTAGCTTACCCAACGCGGATCTATTGGCCGAGTCTTTTGCCGGAAGGAGCATCTACTCCCTAATAAACTTGTACTCTGGCTATGACCAGTTCCCGATAGACCCTACTAGTCGACCTATGACTGCCATGCATACACCTAGAGGCCTCATACAAACGTGTGTGGTGCCTCAAGGGTGGACGAATGGGGCCGCGGTCGTTCAGCGAGATATGCTGAAGGTCATGGAGGACATATGCCCAGAGGTTACGTTTCCATACATGGACGACAATCCAGTTAAAGGACCGAAGGAAAAAGATGAGACTTTAGTGGATGGCCGAGTCAGACAGTTCATATGGGAACATGTGGAGGGAGTAGCGAAAGTACTAGAAAGGCTGGCTAAATACAACCTAACAGTCAGCGGGTCGAAATCACTACTGTTCCAAAGGGAGGTAACGATCTTGGGTTTTAGGTGTTTCTTGGAAGGAAGAAGCCCCGATCCAAAGAAAGTGGATAAACTCCTGAACTGGCCTATGCCTCTAAAAACGGTTGGGGAAGTAAGGAGTTTCCTGGGGGTCTGTAGCTTCTGGCGGATCTTCATCCCCGGGTTTGCCACGATAGCCGAGCCCCTTAGAGAAATGGTGCGACAAGGAGCTAGCTTAGAGTGGTTTGACCAAAGAGAGAAGGTTGCGCGGACACTTCAAGATAAGTTAAGAGATGACGGGGTCGTACTGGGATTACCCTACTTCGACGGTGAAAGGGAGAGACCCTTCATTATCGAAGCCTACGGCGGCCCGATAGCATTAGGAGGAGTGCTCGTGCAGCGAGATGAGAATGGTAAAGAAAGGCCACTTAGATTTGAGAGTCGCACCCTTAATTCGGTTGAGAGGGACTATTTTTAGTTCAGGAAAGAGCTCCTGGCGATCCTGCACTGTCTCAGGGTGTTTAGACACTATGTTATGGAGAGGACATTCATTCTAAGAAAGGATTCCACAGCGGTAATCGGAGTTGTTAAGAGGCATCAGTAAGTAGATGTTACAATCAGTAGGTGGATAGCTCACACATGGACATATGATTTTGCATTAGAGAAGGTACCTACTGAAAAGAATCGAGCCGATGGGCTGATCCGCGTAGAATGGGGATCAATAGACGATGAATCTCTTGAGGAGGCGCCCTTTGTTGACGAGTTCCTTATGGAAGACGATGATGAAGGACTGCCTCCAGCTCCCAGTTGTTATACAGCCTCAACCATAGCAACGAGCAGGGAAGACTGCTGGGGGGAAAAGGAAGACCCTTACCTCCACAACCTCCTAACTCAAGAGGATGAGGAGGAAGGATGGTATGGGATGGTAGAACAAGATGTTGTTGCAGTTCATGAGCTAGCAGAAAGTTCAAGGATGGCTGAACGAAGGTCGAATGAGATAAAGGAAGAGCCGGAAGACCCTGAGCAAGATAAGGGTGCTGAGGAGAGATTTAAGAAGGATGAGTATGATGGGGAATATAAGAGGATCGGTATGGTAATGTGCAGTAATAAGTTGGACGAATTCTATCATGAGAGAACAAAGAGAACCTTTAGGCTGCGTAGGGGTCACCTTTTTATGGATGCTAAGGAAGGACCACCGTCACTGAGAGTAGTGTGTGGTAAGGAAAAGCAACTAGAGTTTATCGCCGCACTGCATGAGGGTCTAGCAAGGGTCATATGGGTGCTGATGCTACATACTAGAAAGTATCTCGATTATATCACTGGGATGGTCTAAGGGATATGGTTATGAGATATTGTAAGTCATGTGAAGCCTGTCAGAAAAGGTCATCTATAAGATTGATTGAAACCTTATACCCCACTGTTCTTGTTGAACCTGGCAGTACTGTTCACCTTGATCTAATTACCATGCCACCTGGTAAGGATGGAATGAAATATGTACTAAACATGAGAGATGACATGTCTGGTTATGTTGAAGCAAAAGTCATCCGTAAGAAAACTGCAAAGACAGTGGCAGATTGGATCGAGGAAATATACTTGAGGTACCCCTTCATACGTGAGTTTGTGGCTGACTAGGGATCAGAGTTCAAGAACGAGATGGTTAGGAGGCTCATGTTCAATCTTGGAGTCAGAATCAGATTTGTGACAACATATCATCCTCAGGCCAATGCACCAGTGGAAAAAGGCCACAACACACTAAAGGATGCTATATCAAAATGGTGTCAAGACGACTCCAGGAACTGGTCATCTTTCTTAAGGCCGGCAGCCTTTGCTGACAATGTGACTGTCAAACGAACTATAGGTTATGCGTCCATTATACTCTGATATGGCAGATATGCTACTTCTCCCATTGAGAACCTAGTTGAGGCCTGGACCCATAAGGTACAGAGAGAGTCGTACTCCACAGAGGAGTTACTGAGGCTGAGGATCAGGCAGATCAAGGAAGTGGATGAAGCCATAATTGAGACCACAAAGAGGATGTCAGACAACAGATTATCTGATCAGACACGGTGGAACAGCAAGAGGTACATCAGGAAGGAACGACTTCAGGTCGGAAATATTGTACTTCTACATGATACATCTCTCGAGATACAGTGGACCAAGAGATTGGAGGCCAGGTGGATGAGACCATTCAGGATCATCAGAGAGGTTGAAGGCAAGGCCTATGAGTTAGCAGAGATGGATGCTACGAGATCCCATGATATAGTATCCGGCTCCCGGCTCCAAAAATTCATACTTAGAGATGCAAATTTGATTCCGAGTTCTGGCAAAGTGGTGAGGCGAGGCCCGAGAGCCGTCTAGCATCAGCCTAGACATGCTGAGACGTGGTTAGTGTGCCCTCGGCATTTGTTGGGACGTGGTGAGAGTGCCACCAACTTCAGATGATTATTTGCTAGGATGTGACCAGTGAGCCGCCAGCTATCGATGATTATGAGCTGGGATGTGGACAGTGTTGCCGCCAGCTACAGATGATGATTATTTGCTGGGATGTGGCCAGTATGCCGCCAACTTCAGTTGATGACGATTATATGCTGGGATGTGGACAGTGTGCCGCCAGCTTCAGTTGATGACGATTATATGCTGGGATGTGAACANCTTCAGTTGATGACGATTATATGCTGGGATGTGGACAGTGTGCCGCCAGCTTCAGTTGATGACGATTATATGCTGGGATGTGAACAGTGTGCCACCAACTTCAGTTGATGACGATTATATGCTGGGATATGGACAGTGTGCCGCCAGCTTCAATTGATGACGATTATATGTTGGGATGTGGACAGTGTACCGCCAACTTCAGTTGATGATGATTATTGGCTGGGATGTGGCCAGTGGGCCGCCAGCTATCGATGATTATGAGCAAGGATGTGGACAGTGTTGCCGCCAGCTACAGATGATGATGATTATTTGCATGGGACGTGGTCAGTGAGCCGCCGGCTATCGATGATGATTAAGAGTTGGGACGTGGCCAGTGAGCCGCCAACTATCGATGATGATTATGTGCTGGGACGTGGCCTGTGTGCCTCCAGCAGCAGTCGGCAGTCGGTTGCTATGATTATGGTATGATTATGGATGCCGGAGCTGGATACGAGCAGCCTATGATGGCTCGGCTCATTGGTGGACTTATGTGTCTATCGGGCCCAGATTGACCCCAGTTTTGCATGTATGTGAGTTAAACTTTTAAAATTTCAGTTCATTGCATTGTATCTGGCTTGTCATGTGTCAGTCCTGGGACATGCCTGGGGGATTGGGAACCAGTTTATGGGATTTCAGTTCTTGCCTCTTATTGTATTTTATTTAGTCTGAATGACATTTATGAAATGAATGGCTGTGGGATAAAGTAAAATCTGTTTTCTTCCTCTCATAAGTCAGCGCTCARTTGATKGGGCAACCTTCTAGTACGATTGTGTAAGGAGGATTGCCTAGCATCATCTGACACAAATTGATTAGCTATCTCTGAAAGAGGGTGACATTTAGCCTAGTGAAGTGTTCCCTTGGCAAGGGACTCAACATCGCCGAGATGGTGTTCCTCTCCAGATGGGCCTTCGTGGCTAAACGCTACCAAGCTCTAAAGGAATAGGTAATCAGTCATGTGTCATAATCGATGGAGTGATCTGTCCGATCATGTGATCGGGCAAAGATCACTTAGCATCACAACGGATTGAGGTTTGTTGCATTCTTCATGCTGGAAGGAGTGTTTCCATTGCAGCCGTCGGGCTCTCGCAACGGTTCCCCGACGAGAGTCTATCCACAGCGGCGTCCCCTGCGGTGTCAGCACTTGCGTCCTTCATGAAGAGGCGGAGAGTTTTTCGATTGCGCCTCTTGAGCAAGAGATGATTCCCTGAAGCAGGTTCTCACAAGGTCCAGAGGCTAGCTGGGTCAGCGGGGTGTCTGAGCCATAGTGGCAGATAACTCCGGACCCTAGGGTGGCTAGTCGTTCCTCAGATCATCGTATGATGACCTGGTCCGCCTGCTAGAAAGGAAGGAGGCATCCTGAGCCTCTCCCAGTCTAAATCCGACATTTGGTTGATCAAGGTGGTGAACTCCTACTATCACTCTGATCGGGGTGTCTCTCGGGAGCAGTGTCTCGAGGGGCATTCCCTTGGCGCCGAGTCAAGCCAGGTATCCACAACCCAGCTGGCAACAGGGCCATTATGACCTCCTAGCCCACTGTTGCAAAACTTAATTGTGGACTCGCTCTGACTCACCAGCAGTGTCTGGTTGGGTGTTGGTTGGCTCCCCGCACAGTAGCAAGAGTCGGGCGTTAGAAAGAAGTCGAGCAAGTAGACGAAGGTTCTGAAGTCGACTAAAGAGCTTCCGCGCCATGGGTCTGCACTCATCGGAGTGAGGGCTTCATGAAAGGGTGTGCGGCTCCCCGTGAGCAATTCTGAGCAAGGGCTCAGAGGGTGGTCGGACCGCCATGACTGGGAATCAGGACTGACTTTGCTCTGCTTGCCGGGTTGGGTCAGCGGAGGAGCCCATCAGGGCGAGCGGGGGCACTCTCGGAAGGCCGAAAGGTAAGACCTTGAGAGTGAGTGAGGAAGGGGTGTCGACAAGGGTCTTTAGGAGAGATCCTTCTTTTTTCTCGTCTTTCTTTTGCGGCATGACTTGACATCTGTTTTGCAGGTATCCTACAGTCAGACGAAGACAACAAGGTTTGGTATGACCCGACAGTGAGCGGCACAGAGCCGGCAGACAAAGACAAAGGGGTTTGGTATGTTCACCCCTTATGAGGCAGCCTTAAAAAATATTCATTCAATATATTCAATATATCAAAAAAGAAATACAAAGAAATTGATTAAGACTATTACTCACCTGGATGATCTTGGATGCGATGATTGGTCCCATATCCGCCCGTGGCTGAGATATCGATAAGGGTTATGTTGTACTGATGGGCAATATGGATGAGATGGACTGATCCAGTGATGATGAGACGTGCACGCCAGGATTGAGACTTGGACTGCTAGACCAGACCTAGTGATGGGGTCAAGTCTAAGATTGAGGATCGATCATGATGATGCATGAGGCCAAACCTAATGAAAGGTTTGACGTGAGATTGAGGTTGATTTAGTGATGCAAGGGAACGGGATTGTTAGTATGATTGGGCTGCATGAGCAGTCATGATACTTGCGTACAGTGACTATACCACGCAAGTCTGATAAGGTAGTTTCCTTCTTGATTTTGATGGTGGCTTGGACCAGTGGTCCATGCCTTATTGAGTGAGCACTCAAGCCCTAGCGGGCGAGTACCCTGATGATTGGGGATATAGTTTATATAATACCCCTATATATCAGATAGCATACAAGACCGCATAGCTCGAGTTGGCATATGAAGAACAGCGCAAGTATGAGGCACAAGCGATGGTTGGGCGGCGCAGCCTGGTGGACGACAGCCGGTTCTGGTGCACGTGGCAACGGTAGTGGCGCAGGGCGAGGCGACTGTGGCAGGACGGTGAGTTGGCGAGGAGATGGTTGAGTAGAGGAAGAAGGGTGGTATGGTGAAGGGTATGATCGAGAGGGTGGATCGAAACGAGGGGGCGGAGAGTTGTAGCGCTGCTCATATTTATACGCATAATACATCATAGATCTAGGCGACGGCATCGCTCGCGCCGGTCCTCTGAACGATGGCGCAAGCGCGTTCCTCCCCATCTCATATTCTCCTCCTCCTCTTCGGATCTCCCCCCTTCGTACGTCAGATCGATCAATCGATCTGGCGCCTTCCCCTGTCGACCTCCTCTCCCACGTCCAGCACCCGAGCCTCGCGTTTTTGGCGCCATGGCAATAGCAGATTAGCTGCGCGCTAGTAAGCGCTAGTACGACAAGGGCGCAAGCAAGTCGAGAGCGATGAAAACAGCGGTAATAGCAAGAGCATAACAGCGCCGCACACTCGACGATGCGAGTTCAAGTGCGAATGGTGAGAATGAGTAAAGTCGCCGAAACCTGGTGAGGACGCCAGGAATGGGGTTTGGTATGGTTGTCGAAAAACGGTGCGGCGCAGCTGCAGAAAATGACTCACCGCGGTCAATCCCGCGCAGCGTCTAAATCGTGCCTAGGGGCGTCCACAGTCATGGTCAAACTGGACCCTAGCGCATCGGTTGAATTTTCCCTGAGCCGAAATCAAGGGAAAGACGGCGCGGCAGTACGGTCCTCCAGAGGTCTGAATCGTCCCCGTTGGACTGGACCGACGCGACCGCAATAAGCCAATTAGTGGGGTCCGGTCCAAACGACACTTGAAACGCTTTAAGGGTTAGCGAGATATTCAAGTTTGACCGGTTGGGACCGGACCGACACGACCTCGTAACCTGGCCAAGAAAGGAACAACCCTAAGTAGCCATATAGATGAACAACTAGGCCCGAATAATTAAAAATAGGGTCATGTGCAATTTTTAGCACGGGACTGACTGTTCGTTTCCCAAAGTCGGGCCTGCGCCAGTCCCGTTCTAAAAATAACACAGCCCCACGCTATTTTTAGCGTGGGACTGACTGTTCATCTATCGGGGACTGGGCCTGCGCCAGTCCAATCCTAAAAGTAACACGGCCCCACGCTATTTTTACCGTGGGACTGACTGTTCATCTACCGGGACTGACTGTTCATCTACCGGGACTGACTGTTCATATCCCGAGG